ATACAGTGTCCTCTACAACGTTATGACACCCCCATACAGTGTCCTCTACAACGTTATGACACCCCCATACAGTGTCCTCTACAACGTTATGACACCCCCATACAGTGTCCTCTACAACGTTATGACACCCCCATACAGTGTCCTCTACAACGTTATGACACCCCCATACAGTGTCCTCTACAACGTTATGACACCCCCATACAGTGTCCTCTACAACGTTATGACACCCCCATACAGTGTCCTCTACAACGTTATGACACCCCCATACAGTGTCCTCTACAACGTTATGACACCCCCATACAGTGTCCTCTACAACGTTATGACACCCCCATACAGTGTCCTCTACAACGTTATGACACCCCCATACAGTGTCCTCTACAACGTTATGACACCCCCATACAGTGTCCTCTACAACGTTATGACACCCCCATACAGTGTCCTCTACAACGTTATGACACCCCCATACAGTGTCCTCTACAACGTTATGACACCCCCATACAGTGTCCTCTACAACGTTATGACACCCCCATACAGTGTCCTCTACAACGTTATGACACCCCCATACAGTGTCCTCTACAACGTTATGACACCCCCATACAGTGTCCTCTACAACGTTATGACACCCCCATACAGTGTCCTCTACAACGTTATGACACCCCCATACAGTGTCCTCTACAATGTTATGACACCACCATCCAGTGTCTTCACCAATGGTTTGACACGACCATACAGTGTCTCCTATCCATTTTTTATTTTTATCTGTATTTTCTTGTTTTGTTACTCTCTCCAAACTCAAGTTGGTTAGTTCCTATCCCCCTTGAGTTTGCGGGGGCTGTTAAAATCCACCTACTCTCCACCTACTTCACCCACTTAAACCTACTCCACTAAACCTAATCCACTACACCACTACCACCTCACCTACTCCACTAAACCTATCACCTACTTCACCCACTTAAACCTACTCCACTAAGCCTAACCCACTACACCACTACCACCTCACCTACTCCACTAAACCTATCACCTACTTCACCCACTTAAACCTACTCCACTAAGCCTAACCCACTACACCACTACCACCTCACCTACTCCACTAAACCTATCACCTACTTCACCCACTTAAACCTACTCCACTAAGCCTAACCCACTACACCACTACCACCTCCACTTCACCTACTCCTTACCTACTACACACTCACCCTCTTCTATATATAGGAATCATGAATCATTGTAATAGATATCAATAAACATACATCAATCAATAATACAATCATTTCTCTTTATACATTAAATTTCTACAGGTTTGGATAACACAATTTTTTAATTGAAATAAAGGGGAAAAGCACAATAGGGGGTGAAGGTTACAAAATACTACTACAGGGGTAAACTGTCTCTAAAGAAAAATGAGTAGAGTGTCCTTATTATGATTGAACAATATAATTAATGTTACTTCGATTGTGTTTTTTTGTCATAGATGTTATGTAAATGTAATTGTGTCAAGGCCACATTTAGACTGAAAATATATTGTTTATGCTGACACAACTCACGAGTGATTGCTTATCATGAACAAGCGTGTATCTTGATTATTGCCTGATATGGAATCTTCGTTTTGCTAAAAAATTACATATGCAGGTGTGCCATCTCCAAAACAACGTTATGATATACTGCTTGTACTTCTCAGTGGGATGGAACACTCTCTTACGGCCATGCAAGTTCAACACCTTGCTATGGCTACACATGGTTTTGTGGGTGCTGATCTAGCTGCCCTCTGCAATGAAGCGGCCTTGGTCTGTCTTAGGTGCTATGTTGACTTCCAGAAATCCTGCGATGATTCAGATTCCGACTCAAAATCTATTTTATTTGATGGATGCAATAATGCTACAAGGATTGGCTCTAATTGTTCAAAAGCTACAAGGGATACCCTAGATTCTGCATCTTCATCTGTCACAGATTTGCCTGTTTCATCAGATATACAGAATGGAGTTAATAACGGGGTAACTGGGGCTGGTGCGGCAGAAAAACACATTCTGAAAGTTGCTTTTGAAGATTTTGAAAAGGCTAAAATGAAAGTAAGGCCAAGTGCCATGCGGGAGGTATGTTTAACACATCCCCACTGTTTAGCAGCAATTGTTTATAGATGATGTAAAAAGAACCAAGTTCTATTAAAAATTAAACTTCTTTTATGAGGACCTGGTGGTTCATGACTCCACATGGGTCATTTGTGTGACGGACAAGTGTCAGAAAAGGATTTTGAGTTTCAAATGGGAAGTTCATATTTTAAAACTCGATTCAGACATATTTTCTAAGGTCACCATTGTCTAAGTTAAAACTAAAATTTATCTGCTTTGCAACTCTTTGAGTAAAATGAAAGCGAAAGTAAGGCCAAGTGCCATGCGGGAGGTATGTTTAACACATCCCTACTGTTTAGCAGCAATTGTTTATAGATGATGTAAAAAGAACCATGTTCTATTAAAAATTAAACTTATTTTATGAGGACCTGGTGGCTCATTACTCCACATGGGTCATTTGTGCGACGGACAAGTGTCAGAAAAGGATTTTGAGTTTCAAATGGGAAGTTCATATTTTAAACTCGATTCAGACATGTTTTCTAAGGTCACCATTATCAAGTTGAAACTAAAATTTATCTGCTTTGCAACTCTTTGAGTACATTTTCTTGTACAATGCTCATTCATAATTAAAATGTGTGGAAAACATGTGAAAATTGTGGTCTTGGATGCATCGTGATGTTGAACCTATTTACGCTAATGTGGATCGTTCTGGCACAAGGAACAAGAGCCAGAATGTGGTACGCCACATGTTTTAAAATATGGTACGATAGGGGTAGGCACAAATCACACTATTAGAATTTAAGGTACTTCTAAACATGAATGCAAATTTCTTATAACAATTAGAACATGAATGCGATTTTCTTATAACAATTAGATATATAATAAAAATCTGTTATTTTTCAAATTTATCATGTAACAACACGTTTTTTAGAGCGTTATGTCACATTTTTTTAAAAACATTTTGTTTAGTTCTTTTACACTTGATCTTTTTTCCACCTGAGGAAACTTTCAAGGAAATAAATGGGAAAAAATTGGTTCACTTTGGATCACTAAATTTTCTATTTTTAAAGTATACCTTGTTTGGGGACGTGCATTCCAAGGCCTAAATTGTTAGGGTATTAGCATTTCAAGTAATACTGTTGGACCTTGGATTTGTTAGCTCCTTTGCATTTGCACTGTCTACAATTTGCTGAGTTCTGTTTCCTGTTACAAAACAAAGCACGCCAATGCCATAACAAATATGTGCCTCACTTTGTCAATACCAGGATGTTGGGGCACGCATATTGTCAGTTAGGGATTGAAATGATTGTAAAGGATTTAAGCTCCCTATTGGTTTTTGTTACTCCTACATTTTGCAACATTTTGTGCTTTGTATACAACGACTACCACAACCTTTTTAATTGCTAGTTTAGAGGGTTGTGCTATTAATACGTAAAGAAATAATAGACTGGTGGGTTTTATTTATCATGTTATTGATCTTTCGTTATTAGGTTATACTTGAGGTACCTAAGGTTAACTGGGAAGATGTTGGTGGCCAAAAGGAGGTTAAGACACAGTTAATGGAAGCTGTAGAATGGCCACAAAAGCACCATGATGCTTTCAAGCGTATTGGAACCCGCCCGCCTACTGGTGTTTTGCTGTTTGGTCCTCCAGGTTGTAGCAAAACCCTTTTGGCACGTGCAGTGGCTTCTGAAGCAGGTCTAAATTTCCTTGCAGTAAAGGGCCCGGAGCTTTTCAGCAAATGGGTTGGTGAATCTGAAAAGGCTGTGAGATCTCTGTTTGCGAAGGCAAGGGCGAATGCACCATCTGTCATATTTTTTGATGAAATAGATGGTCTTGCTGTCATTCGTGGAAAGGAAAGTGATGGGGTTTCGGTTGCTGATAGGGTCATGAGTCAGCTTCTTGTTGAATTGGATGGTAAGTAGTCAATTATAATGCTGCATCTCTGAATAGAAGTTGTCTTGCTTCTAAAAGGCTTTATTTTAACACAATAGTGTCATCCTTGGCTTATCTTCTTTCTTTCTTTTTTGTTTGTTTGTTGTTGTTTTTTTTTTAAAATAATATTTTTGATAAGTTATCATCCTTGGCATATCTTGAAATGAAAGTATATCAATGTTAAGTTTTCATTGAGATTTTGGTTGTGAATCGGTTTAGTTTTAACAAATCTTCCTAGTTTTCTTGTTGAGACCTGTCCTTGGCAAAATCTGCAGAAAACTGATTAAAAAGATTTTCTTATCCATGAAACAGGTTTAAGAAGATAAATACCTGTGTTGCACTGAAGTAACATCAACCCTTAGAATCAGTTTGTTTCTCATAGATGGAAGGGGAAAATAAATGAAAAAGGTATAGGAAAACTGATCCCCCTTGTATGTTCTCCCATACTTAAAATTATATTAAAAATTTATTAAATGTGGTCAGAAACCAAGAGAAGAAAATGGAAAATGACACCCAAAAGTAACAGTCTCCTTTTCCTATGTAAGTTCTTCTCCTGCCTCCCCTGGGAGCTTTCCATGCTAATTAAACCGGGGTAAGTAATTTGCTTTGGGCTGATCAAGAGAAAAAAAAAATAATAATAATAAAGTGATTTGTTTTGTATGTTTTTTTTCATTTCCTTCACCAAATCCGCAAGCCAAGGGCCTTAGAGTATTTATCAAATGAAACTTGTACTTTATGTTTCTACTTATTATCTGCAAAATGAACACTCTTTGTTAATTTAGGTATGCAACAGAGAGCTAATGTTACTGTTATTGCTGCTACAAATAGGCCAGATAAGATTGATCCTGCACTTTTAAGACCAGGTAGCGCTAGTCTCTCGTTTTTCAAAATCTGATGTTAAAGTCATAGGAAAGCCTTTTCATTTATTCTTTCACAAATTTAGCCTCCTGATGATTGATAAAAAATTTGGCAGGACGCTTTGACCGACTACTATATGTGGGACCACCAAGTGAATCTGATCGGGAAGATATATTCCGCATCCATTTGCGCAAAATGCCATGCAGTCCTGATATCTGTATTAACGAACTTGCTCTTCTGACTGAAGGTTGTACTGGGGCTGATCTATCACTTATCTGCCGCGAAGCAGCTCTTGCAGCTATTGAAGTTTGTGGAGTTCCTATTTTGTCTTGTATTTTTGTTTCAGAATTATTTTCTCTTCCTGTAATTCTTAAGCTTATATGATATCAGGAGAACCTTGATGCCTCGGAGATAAGAAGGGAACACTTGAAAACAGCAATTGAGCAAGTTCAGCCATCCGAAATCCAGTCTTATCAAGAATTATCGGTAAAGTTTCAGCGGCTTGTCCACTCCAGTACTGAAAGAGATGTGTTACATGATCAACCATGTTCAAGATCAAATTGGAACCCTTTCTGGTAAACATTTCCCTTTCTCATGATATTTTTTTGATGAATTGTTTAACTGACGTTGAACATCCAGGACATCCCAAAGAAACTGACTATTTGTTGGATAATAAGTGGCTCTACCTAAACAAGGATTGATTAATGACTGCAAGTGAACTGTATGAAGATTATCAAAAACCTAGAATTGCTGGGAGTGGTCAAAAAAATAAAGTTTGATTATTTATCAAAAAAAAAAAAAATTTGTTTGGAGTGGTCAAATATCTTAGATGTGGTATGTAAATATATTTGGTAGGGATAAACCCTCTAAACTTTTCGGAAAAAGTTACAGCCGGGTGTGAACCTGTGAATCAAAATGTGATGGGAAAGTTTCAATAATAAGAAACTGAAGTTAGAATCAATTTAAAGGTACTCTTTCCATTGGATGTCTAGTCCTCTCTATTTTAGGATGCCCAAAATGGTTGTCCACTTTGAAAAGTCAACATATAAAATCTTATGATTTCCCCATATTATTATTTTTAAATGATTGTGAATGCATTTAATAATGTGAAATAGAGGGATTCACAAAACTTTATTACTTGGGTTTGAATGCAATTTTTTTATTTTTTTTCCTCTCAAAGTCGTGTTTTCAAAGATACACTAACTACAGTTTTAAATTTGAGTCCCGTTAAGCAGCTTACTCCAAGTTTTGAGACTGGGGCTTGCTCATCCACACTGGATTATTTTTCTCCTTTTCTTTATTTTTGTCAAATTAATTAATCATTATTTTCTTGGAAACTACATGAGGTATGACTAAAATATGTGGTCCCATTTTCTATGTTGCTTTATCTGATTTACGTATGTTGCAATAGATGATCATCACTATCGCTATTTTAGCCTTGTGGATGCAATAATTTCCTCTCTCAAAGTATCTTTCATTATCTAGTTTTTTAAGGATAGTGATCATTTACAGAGATTCAATTGACAATACGTGCTCTACTTTCGTGATGCAGGACATTGATGAAATCTGTTGCGCTGTTCTTTCATCAGTTTCCAGCATCACTTTCACAGTTGAAACCATCTTCAAGTGGGTAGTGAGATTTCTGCTTCAAACCCTCAGGCAAAGCATTCTGTGTTTTGAAAGTGATTTCTGAGGGAATATGGGAAGTCGAAGTTTCTGTTCCACCATTGGGCAGTGGTATTACCAGAGTACACTATTCAACAGTGTATATATACGCACATACATGGACACGTATACAGCCAAAAGCGCAAGCTCTTTTCCATACATTACAAGTTTAGATGGTTCGCTTTCTTCACCCAAAAAGAGCTTTGAGCTCAATGTTGCAACATCAATGAAGCACGACGAGCCTTTTTAGAAGGGACTGACGCAAAGGTTTGATTGTTTTTCAAGACCGACAGTAGACCCTCCTAAATATTGTTCTTAGCTTCTGATTGGAGCATTGAAAAGCTGCATTTGGACATGGGTGTTTTGCTCATTTGTGGAATTTTTTCCCTTAATCGTTGTACAGGTATTCTACATTAACTTTGGGTAATTGAGAAATCTGGTTCACAAGCCGGCATGAAAATTCTGAGTAAGCTTGAAGGTTGTTCTGAGATAATTTTTTCCCTTCTAGCAGCAGCTGGAAAGATTGTTCTGAGATAGGGAGTTTTATGATTCGGGTCAGAGAATGTTAGGATGAGGCATGCCGGAACCTGCGTTTTGGGTGGGCTCTTTATGGTTTTTATAGTACGAGTTGAATTGAATAGTGAATTTGTTTGTGGTGTGAACTTTCTTTTCACGCCGAGGGGGGTAATTCTATTTTGTTGCTCTCAAACCTTTGTTGATTTACTAATTAATTAAGTGCTAATCATCTTCTAGGACTTGCAAAATGCAAAGGTTTCAACTAAAGTTTTAACCTTTTTTTTTTGTGGTAATTTTCTGAATTATCATTTCTATGAATCAACAATGATTCATCCCACTAAAAATATCACTACTAATAGCACTAATGCATTAAAAAAATAAAAAAAAATAAAAAAAAACACAACTCTAAGACCAAAACATCACATCATTAATGGCGGGATCCACTGTCACCTAATTAGTGGGAGCACTAATTGGAGCACTAATTAGTGCTCCAAGCATTTTTCTTCTATGAATTGTTGTATATGTACTCATCTCCCGTTTTCAACCCAATCTGTAGAAGCTTTTAATTGATTTATTAAGTACAAAAAATGTGTCAGATTTAAGTGACTCAAAATAGATATGTAACATGTGAAATTTGAAGCCTAGTTTGATAAAAACTCAGTTTAGGAAAATTACAAAATATACTGCTCCTTTTTTTTCTCTCTTTTTTAGTTTTGTTATAATACTCTTTCAAAATTGCCTAATACATGATAGTTAAAAATTGGGAGTTGGAAACCTCCTGATACCCCCTCCAGACTGCGATTCAACTGTAGCAAGAGCCATTGATTGGCAATTCATCTCAGATCATCCTCTACCCATAAGGTACAAGTTCCTTTCCTTTGTGAGTTGGAAATCTCTCGATGCACATAGATTCAAGCTTAACACCGATGGCGCAGCAAAAGGTAACCCGGGAGCGGCTTTGACGGGTGGCCTAATCAGAAATTCCATTGGCAACTGGGTTTGTGGTGTCAGGAGGAGCATTGGTGTAACTAATAGTGTGATTGCTGAGTTACGGGGGACTGAGAGATGGTCTTCAACTGGCCCTTGACAATAATTTATGAAACATTGACGTGGAGATTGATGCCTTAACAGTTCAACAACTCATAAATAAGCTAGATCTGCAGCACCATCAATTTAGCAATCTAATCTCTGATTGCAGGTACCTCATGGAATAGCTAGGGGTGACGGAGGTGAAGCACATCTTCCGTGAAGCAAATGGCTACGTTGACCGCTTGGCCAAGGAAGGCAGCTCAATTAATTAAGGAATCATTATCTATGCTAATTTACCTAGTTTTATTACTGATAAAATATGTAATGATACTTTAGAGACCTTGTATCCCAGACCTGTATTGGATTCTGTTCAAGCTATTTATAACATCAGTTTTATTTACCCCCACACACAAAAAAAAAAAATAAAATAATAATAATAATAATAATAATTTTTTGTTAACTTTTGTATTGTGCATATACTTTGAGATAGCCAAAAATAGAGAACAAGACTGATAAAGCCAATAGAGTAGATGCCAAAAGAGGAAAGAATAGTTGGAGCTGCGCGACACACAAAAGCAAGAAAAAATGGAAGCGTAGTTGGAATTTGGAAATGGACACAAACAAAAGCAAAAAAAGATGAATGTGATTTAAAATGTTTTAAAAACAAAAAATTAGCCAACAGATTACATTTGTATCTTGAAAAAAATGAATAATAGTAAGTGTGATTTTAAGTATTAAATTGAATACGAATGTTACAATGGTTATGATGTTCAATTAACTTTATTTTTATAGACATATTTTATTTAATATATTTTAAAAAATAAATAATTCAAATTATCAAAATAAGACTTGAAATGAGCCCAATTGAGCTCACGAGAGTAACTGGTGTGTCTTGGGCAGGTGAGCCACCCTTTTTCCTCTTGGTTATTACCCTTTTCAAAGTCATTCTCTCTCATGACTTTCAAAATAGAAAGGAATTCGGATCTTCAGTCGCCCTTTCCTGCGGCCCTTTCTACGGCGCATCAAAACGGCGTCATTTTGATATATATATATATATATATATTTTCACCTCTTATTTTTCAGCTCCTTTTCGTTGTGCCCTAGCCCCTCTGATAGATAGAGACGAACAGAGTTAGAGGCGAACAGAGCTGGACAGATCGAACGGGAGAGGCGATGAAGATCGAACGGAAAAGGTGACGAACGCAGCTGGACAGATCTAACGGGAGAGGCGACGAACGCAGCTGGACAGATTGAACGGGAGAGGCGACAAACGCGAGGGCGAGAGACGAAGACAGAGAGGCGACGGACGATTGACGAGGTTCATTTTATCTCTCTCTCTCTTCCCTTTTTCTATGATTAATTGGTTTGATTCAACTTTTGTAACACTTAATCTGAAATTTATCTCGAAATTGTGGCTATTGGGTTGAGTTGATTTTGTCACTTCAGCAGAAAAGGGTCATCAAAATGGCTTGAGTTTTAAGAAAATGTCACTCACTGTTCCATCACTCTGGTCATGAATTCTTTATCTGTAAAAAAACCTGGAAAAATCGATTTTTCCATAATAGAATGGTGGTGATGATTGCTTCAACAACATCAATTCATTATGAATATTTGATGATAATGTAATGTTGCTTCATGCTGATTTAAATTTCATATCTATTCTTCCAACAATATATGAATAAATTTGTGAAATTGATGAGAATGTGAATATATAATTCAAGAACCAATTTACCTGAGCAAGTTCAAGCATGGTGACTCTTAGTAGCCACTGAATTCTCAGTAGTCTTTCACTTTGAATTCTCAGTAGAGTCTTTCAGTGACCAACTATCCACATTTTTTATCCTAAATTTTTGTCTCCCGATCGCTTAGATTATGTTTGAACTTACATGGATTTGAGATTATGTTGGTACAAGGTTGGGGATACAAAATGGGAAGTAAGGGCAGGTTCAAATTAATTAGATAATTTACTCTCTTCCAGGTCAAGCTAATGGGATTGATAATTTTATGATCAACAATTTTATAAATGTTAATCATATTTAATTCAGTTTGATCTAATGGCTGTGAATATTTTGACATAGAGAGACGTTGTGGATATGGCTGTGAATACTGAGAGGTTGATAGCAGACATGCCAACTGGTAAATATTGGAAGAATTAATTGATGGAAACAGCCCTTTTTTTTTTTCTTTCCATTTTTCTTTTTCTGATGTAGCTGTTGCATTCTGATGGCTCTGTCTCTCCAGTTTGTAAATGCAACTAACTCAACTATAAACACTTGACAATCTTGAGATCACTTTTGTCACCATTTATACATTTGATAAAAATTAATACATAACAGTCTAACATTATGAAAACTTATGCTTATGAAAACTTATTCTTATGCTTATAAAAATTAATACATTTGATACAAATCTTGATGAAAACTTATGAAAACTAGAGTTTGCAGTCTAACATTAGAAATACATGACATTCTACGTTTAGGAAATCCAAGAGTAAAGGAGTATGCTTATGAAAACTGATGTTGATGAAAACTGATGGCTAGTAATATGAAGTTATATGATCTTATGCTTGTTACCTACATCTCTTAACTTCAACTGTGGTTAGATCTGTGTTGCATTTCAAATTGACTTTTGTGTTTACTTGTAATTAAGATTGACATGTCAACGAGTTCAAACAACAATGCTGGATTCTTTCAAAATAAAATATGCAAATGTGGGAAAAAAGCAGGAGTGTACATATCAGAATCAGAGAAAAATCCAAGGGAAGTTGTATTTCAAGTGTGCAAATAAGGCTTGTGACTACTTTGTGTGGGGAGTGCCTCCTACTGGGAATGGATCAAATATCCAAAAGAGCGGGGATGATTATGATTTTGCGAGAAACAATGAAGTTGTGAATATCTTGGAATGACTTGACGCAAACCAATGAGAACGACTTGAAGCTATCAAATTCATAATTTTGACAACCATAGTGATGCTTGGTTTTATCATGCTAGTGGCGCTGCTCAAGTGAACTTGTATTTGTACTGAGTGAAAACCACTACTTGTAGAACTTGTATTTAGTTTTGAAACTTTTATATGTGCATGTAAAATCCAAACAATGTTTATTTAATGAAGTTGCTATGCTATGTCAATTGTATTAATTAATGAAATTGGATGTTATGTATATGATGTATGAAGATTGATGCTATGAAAAGAAAGTGAATATGATATTATGTGAGCACAAAGTGAATATGATGTATGAAGATTCAATTCTGAAATGGGTTTTAGCATGTGAAATCATAGAATGCCTAGCTTCTTCAACTCCTAAACATTTGTCCATGCTGTGAAACAGTAACAAGTTCAGACAAGCAAAATAACAGGAAATGAAGGCAAAGCCTGCTTGTTCAAACAACAAGGAATTGAACCTGTGCCACTTGAATTGAACCTGTGGCACAAGGAATTTAACCTGTCCAACTCCCTAATCACCAACCACTGCAAAATATTCACTAAAACAAACATTAACCTGTGCCACTTGAATTGAACTTATGCCACAAATATTTAACCTGTCCAACTTCCCTAATCACCAACCACTACAAAATATTGACTAAAACAAACATTAACTTGTGCCACTTGAATTGAACCTGTGCCACAAGGAATTTAACCTGTCCAACTTCCCTAATCACCAACCACTCCAAAATATTGACTAAAACAAACATTATGTGATCCTCACGAAAATAATAAGAACTTTATACATGCATACACATGAACAAAAGAACATTGTTCCCAAACATTAAAAATACTTGAAAAAGATGTCCATAACAAATATTCAATTCCCACCAAACATTAAAAATACATACAGAAGATGTCCATGAAAAAAATCCAAATCCCACCAAACATAAAAAAATACACCCAAATCCACAAATATAATAAGATCATCGTTCGATGCAAGCCTTCCAAGGATGTCCATCCACATGACTGTCAGCAGCACTATGTGAGGCTTGCGACAGTTGGACACTAGTACCTCAAAGCAACTCCTGAAATGATGTGGGAGTGGGATACACTAAAGGCATTGAATGAGGCAGCATTGACTGAGGCGTGCTATTTCCCTGCAATAGTGGTACATTTATTAAAATATTTATAGAATCTATACTACCATTTCAATGTAAAGTATGTAAGCAATTACAACTCACATCATATGTAGGATACATGACATCATGAACACTTGTACGACCCATGGCAAAGGGAGGTTGAGATTAGGATTCAGGTCGAGATTGGGATTGACATTTAGTCCATCGTTTCAATATGTATTGTGCAGGAAGATCCTTTGCATTAAATATATCTCTAAGCACTTTCAAACAATGTCGACACACTATGCCCTTGACTTCAAATTTCTTGCAACTACAACTCAAACAACCATGTGTATCCATTATCACATTCTTATCTTTTTTTCCCATCTACCGTTGTTTGAATTGTGAATATGGTACTCTCACCATCATTGCGAGTGCCTACAATGGATGCTTTAATGGACTGCACATACTCATTTTGGAATTCCTCAAAAATTGTTTTCGTGTAAATATCTGCCATTTGCTTTAACATCAAAGTTGGAATGGAAACCCTTGGCAATTTTTGGGACAAATTATATTCGGCTTCCAATTCTTTATACCTCTTGTCATAGAGTACTCTCTCAAAATGCGTGAAAAATTCCATCAAGTTATGATCATAATTGATATAATCCTTCAAACATGCATTGAATGATTCACTTAGTTGAGTAGTGCTCATTCCAGCTGCCCAAGAATTCATAATATATGGCCATCCCCATTTGTCCTTCACACCAAAAGTTTGTTTTAACCAATGATTGTTGTGTGCATCATACGTATCAAGCATTTGGTCCCATTGTATTTTGAATTCTTCTTCATTATCAATTTCATGCATAAATTTTGAAAACACACCCTTCACCCCTACATCTCTAAAAAGAGAACTTACATGCTTCACAGCATTTTGCATCAAATGCCATGTGCAAAGTCGGTGGTTTGTATTAGGCATGACAATTGGAATGGCCTTAGCCATCGCAACATCTTGATCTGTGAAAATAGTTTTTGGAGCTTTGTTTGACATTGCCTCCAAAAAAATCTGAAACAACCATGTGAATGATTCGGCAGTCTCATCATACATCAACGCTGCACTGAATATAACTGTTTCTCGATGATGATTAAATCCAACAAAGGTCCCAAAAGGTCTATGCTCATTATTTAATTTGTAAGTAGTGTCAAAGGTCACTACATCACCAAATTGAGCATAGTCCATTATCATTTGAGCATTGGCCCAAAATATATTAGTTATCTGCTCTTCACAATCTAATTGAACTGCATAATAAAAGGATGGATTTTCCATAGTTTTCTTACGAAAGTGTTGCAACACACTACCCGCTTCTCCATATTCCAAATCTTTTTGTCTCTTCGATCTCAAATAATTTTTTTGGTCCAATTTGGTGAAACCAAGTGATGCTCTTCCACCAGATTCCTTACCCAATAGCTCATAAGCAGACCTAAGAAGAATTTCAGATTCTGAAGCCAATTCTACTTCAATTGCTTGGGTGGTAGATATTTTTCTTTGGGATGACAACATATGAATGCACTCTTGACGCACAAGCTCATGATTATGATGCTCAACAAAATCAATTGCAACATATTTTCCTAAATTTCTATCTAACTTGATACTCAACTGGGCAGTGGGCACCACAACCACATCTCACCTCTTGTCTCGGAAATTTGACTAGTGGATCTCGCTTGTCAATACCCTGACTTCTCTCTTTAGAACATACAAAAGTCCATGAAGTTAGTTCCTTAGTTTGTTTGTTCTTGTGTGCATACGACTTCCTAATACTAAAGCCCATCTTTTCGCCATAGTTATTGTAAAACTCATACGCAGCTTGTTCATAGTCAAATGGCATGCCTAATTTTGGCTTCCAACCACAACTACCCAACTCATCAACAACATTATTTTCTTCCATTACCTACAATTGAGTACCATACAACTAATAAAATAAGCTAATTCCCAAAAATTGATGGATAGGATTTTTTTGAAGTGTGCCTACAAATACTACTAAGTAATTTATATAACATTTTCCTATACATATAATATACCAGTGGGATGAAACAAAAGAATAAACTGATGTACTACTTTTCATGGTCCACTAGTGGAACTCTAGGCTTGACATTGAGTCTGTTAAGATTACATCAGTTCATCCAGTATTATGATAACAAAATCAGGTGAAGTCAAAGTTCGTGATTTTGAAAATTATCAAACCTACAAAATCTCGATATGTTGGATTGAGTTTTTGCTTCAATTGCCTTTTATTATTCATAATTTCCTTGGATTGTTTTTAGCAATTCATTAGAGTTAGGAACTTGATTTAATGACTACAAATTTGATTTGTCCCACTATGCTGATTCCTAGAGATTTTTCTTGGCCTACGGGTTTGTGTACATATAAAACAGCTGGTTCCAATTATAATTTTCATACCACCTATGCTGGCCTTTGTTGAAATTTGTCATTAAAGCTAAGGAACTGTGTAGTTATTTTGTTTCTGTCTTGTGTTCGTAACCACATTCTCATAATTGACACTCAAGCATATCAAAAGAGTTCATCAGAAATAGAGCTGAAGCATAGTCAAACAGAGCTGAAGCATATCACAAATTTATTTGAATATTATTACATTTTAGTTCATCAGAAATTTATTTGAATATTATTACAAAGCTGAAGCTCATCAGAAACACTCAAGCCATTTATTTGAATATTATTACATTTTAGTTCAGTTTTACTTTGTATAACAGAGCTCAAGCATAATTAATATATTATTTGAATATTATTAATAAATCCTACCCAACTCTTGAGCATAATTAATAAATTTATTCCACAAATCAAAATGTTAATTGAATATTATTATAGTATTAAAATAATGGAGTATATGCATAATTATATATATATATATATATACTTGAGCTCTGTTTTTTTCGGTGGATAACTGTGCAAGTAATGTTTGGTTTATTTTTTTTTAGGCTTAATTCAAATGGGAAATCACAATATAATCAAACAATACCCATGAATGGCGATCACAAATAACACAGAAATGCACACATAGCTTCGGAAATCTCACAAATTTCCGACAACAAAGACAGATATATAGATATATATATATATATGTACATATCAGCGATTAAAATCTGAAATGATGATCGTGATTAATGAAATGGGCTGTTATTTTCTGTTGCTTATTTTACCTCGTCATCGCCGTGATATCGCCTCGTCGTGCCGTCGCCTCCCTTCGTCATTCTCCATCCTTCGCCATAGCCGTCGTCTCCTCTCTCCGCCATCATTTGTTCTTCGTCCTTCGCCGTTGCGTCCCTCCACCATCCTTCGTCCTTCGCGGTAGCTGTCGCCCTCTGCAAAACGCCCGTCTACCATCTCTCTCTCTTTCTCTCTTCATCTACCGTCTCTCTCTCAGTTCGTTAGGGCTAAACAAAACAAAACATAGAGCTGCTGGGCCTGGGTGAAGATGAAAGAAGCGGGAAATTCAATTTTTGAGGAAGCAATTAAAAAATATAAAATAATAACAACTAACAAAAACGACGTCGTTTTGGTCAAAACGACGTCGTTTTGCAGAGGGCGGCAGGGAGGGCTGCAGGAAAGGGCGACTGAGGATCTGCATTCGAAAACTCCGCGTATTCATTTATTTAAATCGTTTTCAACTTGTGCCGTGTTGACCTGCTCCCTCAGCAAGACAGATGTATAGATATATATATATATATATATATATGTACATATCAGCGATAAAAATCTGAAATGATGATCGTGATTAATGAAATGGGCTATTATTTTCTGTTGCTTATTTTACCTCGTCATCGCCGTGATATCGCCTCGCCGTGCTGTCGCCTCCCTTCGTCATTCTCCATCCTTCGCCATAGCCGTCGTCTCCTCTCTCCGCCATCCTTTGTTCTTCGTCCTTCGCCGTTGCGTCCCTCCACCATCCTTCGTCCTTCGCGGTAGCTGTCACCCTCTGCAAAACGCCCGTCTACCATCTCTCTCTCTTTCTCTTTCTCTCTTCGTCTACCGTCTCTCTCTTAGTTCGTTAAGGCTAAACAAAACAAAACATAGAGCTGCTGGGCCTGGGTGAAGATGAAAGAAGCGGGAAATTCAATTTTTGAGGAAGCAATTAAAAAATAATAATAATAACAACTAACCAAAACGACGTCGTTTTGGTCAAAACGACGTCGTTTTGCAGAGGATGGCAGGGAACGCCGCAGGAAAGGGTGATCGAAGATCCGAATTCTTCAACATAGGCCCACAATTTTAAACTCATAAATTTACTTACAATGATGTGACATTGGAGTTGGACTTTTATTATTGTCATTCTCTTTCATACCTTTCAACATAGACCCACAATTCTAAATTCATAAATTTACTTACAATGATGTGACACGGGAGTTGGACCTTTATTATTAGATATATAATAAATTAAAATTGACGCCTATCCTACTACATCATTATATGTTAAATTATAAGAGATTTTTGTAGGGCTCAAAGATTTTCTTATGTTGATTAGCTTCAATAATGTTCAATGACTTGCGAGAAGGTCCCGTTTATCAATAAATTAAAATAATTAAAAAGCTAAAATATTATTATATGTTATCAAATCATTTTCTTTAATTTTTTCATAAACAGTAAAAAAAAACTAACATCCAGTGTGATGCATTTACACTTGATAATTGATGAGATGAATGCATGAGATTGAGATGACCCTAACTCAGAATTCATTGCGAGTCAAAGCTAATACTAAACATTATTGTTGAAAATATTTCACCTACTTTTTTATATTTAATAATTTCAATTTGTTGGACTATAGGTTATTTTAAAAAGTAGGTTAAAATTTTTTTTGACTCTTTTAAAAAAAATATGTAAAAAGAAAAAAAAAAAAAGTGATATAATTCAAAAAAAGATTAAGCCTCCGTTTGGAAAGTGGGTTGACTTTTTGGCTTTTTGACTTTTTTGACTATTTTAGCTTGGGCTTAAAAGCTTGGTTTGTGAAGGACTTTTTGACTTTTTTGAGTTTTTTTGTGAGAGAAGAATGTAATGATTATGGGTTGGATGTGATGTTTTATTTGTTATGGCTAAAATAGCCTATTTTATTTTTTGTGGCTAAAATAGTCAAAAAAGCCCAAACCATGACTTCCCAAACGAAGCCCAAAAGTCAAAGAAATTAACTTTTAATCTCCTCCCAAAATGGCCATATGCATGTCTCTATTCGTTTTACTAGTATGATTCTTTTTCTCACATCATGCATAAGACATGTTATACAAATCTGTACCATTTTATCTCTCCATATGTACACACATGTATATATATAAACACACAAACAAGTAGCAAATATCTACTTGCCAACTGTTTAAAAAAATAAATAAATTAAAAATTAAAAAAGAAATCTACATGCCAAAATTACTAGGAAATCAAATTAAAAATTCTAGAATGAAACAGAATAAAAAATGACAAAACAGTGAAATTGAGAAATAAAAAAACTGAACACAACTTTAATAATTGAGATCATTCATCTTCTAAGTCATTCAAACAATATGAGCATGAGATTAAAAAGTCTCGTTTGAGATGAGTGTTTTTGTCTTTTTTAACTTTTGTAAGATAAAAAATATAATAATTATGGTTAAGATGTGACATTTTATCTTTATTTTTTAGTCTATTTTATTTTTTGTGTGTGGCTATTTTAACCAAAAAGCTCCAAACTTTTTCTTCCCAAACAAACCCAAAATAAAAATTTGATTTAATAATTATAATTATTTGATTTTATCATAATTGTTTCATTGAATGTTTTCATAATTATACTTGTTATCTATTTGTTTAATGATAAATTGTGTGACTAAAATTATTCATTCAATCATTTAAATAATCTACAAACTTAGGCCTCGTTTGGAAACAGGCTAATTTAGTAACTTTTTAGCTATTTGGCTAAAATATGAGCTAAAAAAAACTAGTATGTTTGGGATGACTTTTTAACTTTTTACGAAAAGATGTGCAAAAAGTAGAGAGAAAAGAGAATCTTTGATTTTTTTGTATGGGTTATTAATTTTTTGACTAATTTAATAATTTTTTGACTTTTGGGAACAGGCTAATTTAGTAATTTTTTGGCTATTTGGCTAAAATATGAGCTAAAAAAAACTAGTATGTTTGGGATGACTTTTTTGATAAATTGTGTGACTAAAATTATTCATTCAATCATTTAAATAATCTACAAACTTAGGCCTCGTTTGGAAACAGGCTAATTTAGTAACTTTTTGGCTATTTGACTAAAATATGAGCTAAAAAAAACTAGTATGTTTTGGATGACTTTTTGACTTTTTACGAAAAGATGTGCAAAAAATAGAGAGAAAAGAGAATCTTTGATTTTTTTGTATGAGTTATTAATTTTTTGACTAATTTAATAATTTTTTAACTTTTTAACTAAAAATGAGGGTTCCTAAACAAGCCCTTAGTCCTATAAAATAAAAGGACCAAATCATAAAAGTAGACCCTACAAGCCCAAATAAACCAATAATATGACCCAATCCATTAATATAGATTATCTCTAATGTTTGTTTTGGTAAGTGTGGGAGATTCTATTTTTAGGCTTTTTGACTAAAATGGAGGGTTCCCAAACGAGGCCTAAAAATGAGGGTTCCTAAACAAGCCCTTAGTCCTATAAAATAAAAGGACCAAATCATAAAAGTAGACCCTACAAGCCCAAATAAACCAATAATATGACCCAATCCATTAATATAGATTATCTCTAATGTTTGTTTTGGTAAGTGTGGGAGATTCTATTTTTACATTCCATATTATTTGTGGTTATTTGGAATATGCTATATAAGTGTACTTTTTATTTGTTGACTAAAAAAATATTGCAAAAACAAAATGTATATTTGGGATAATTTTTTGAATTTTCATAAAAATGTGTTATAAAATATTACAAAAAGAATCGAAATTACCATTTTACCCTTACTTTTTCACCTCTGACACATGTTACAGTTAGGGGTGAGCAGCGGATATATCGATCCGTCAAAACCGACCGAACCGAACCGATTCGCCGCATTTTGGACGGATGCGTAATGACGAGCGGACGGTTGCAGATTGATTTTCTCCAATCCGCCAATTTGGCGGACGGATGGCGGGTTTGAGATTCCTTTGGGTGCAACCGAACCGCCGAACCGCGAACACCCCTAGTAATTTATAAGACTTTGTATTTTCAATTTGTTTAAATATTTTGTTTGTGTTTTCAATTGAAAAAGAGTTTAAATATTCCGTTGAAAATTTTTTTCCAACTTGAATATATTTTTTGAATTGAAAAAAATAAACTTATTATTTATCTATATTTTTTGATTTTTAAATCTAACTCTAAAAATAATAAATAGAAAATATGATATATGCTGGTTGGTTTTCTTTTCAAAAGCATATATAGATGTAACAATACAGAGACATATAATCTCTACTACTACTTCTCTGTTCATGGTTTTGGTAGTTTGAATCGTTTTTATATTTTAAGAATTACAGATTGTAATATTTTTTGTGGATGAATCATGCTGTGATTGTAATATGTGGATGAGGCATGCAGTGATTGTAATACTCTAAAGTTTCAAATTTTCTTTCTTTAGATGAGGCATACAATTATTGTAATATTTTTTTAAGTTATTGACTGTAATACTTTTTTTTTTTGAGAAAGTGCACAAGTTGAATTATATTGAAAATTTATAAAATTTTAAACCGCCAATCCGATTTGCATCCATCCGCCAAACCGCCAATCCGCTCAATCCACATCCGTCGGATTGGTGGACGGATGCGGATTGATTTTCTCCAATCCGCCAATATGGCGGATGGATGGCGGATTGGAGGTTTCGTGGCCGCAAGCGACCCGCGCCCACCCCTATCTATAGTAGTTGAAAAAACTATGCAGTTCAATTTTTTTTTTTAAAAAAAAATTCCCGCATATGCTTCCATGGTTCACATTGTGCCATAGAGCGCAGCCAGGGAGATGGATGTCATCTATCAGAACAATGTTGAATTCGAAGGACAATTGCATGTGATGGCAAAAGTAAGGGCAAAATTGTCTTTTTGTAGTGTAGGGCTTCCCCTACACACTTCCCGCCCAAAATTCCAAATAGTATGTACTTTTTGACTTATTAAAGCCTCGGTTTGGGAAGTAGGTTGACTTTTTAACTTTTTTGACTATTTTAGCCTGGGGCTAAAAAGTCTGGTTTGAAAAGGACTTTTTGACTTTTTTGACTTTTTGGTGAGGTGTCTTTATGGTAAATTACCAAACTGCCCTTGACACATGATTCTCATGGCAACTTACACTGAAATGGTCCTCCACGTCAGCGCCATGTACAGGACCGAAATTGTTTGAATTTTTTTTTTTTTTTTGGGTTTGGATTTGGCGTATTTTCCTTTAAATTTTTATTTTTATTTTTTTTTATTTTTATTTTGGGTTTGGATTTGGCGTATTTTGCTTAATTTATTTTTTTATTTTGGGTTTGAATTTCTCATATTTTACTTAAATTTTTTTATGTAAACAAATTAATTCCACATAGAGAAATTTCAAGTAACACTTCAAAAATTAAAATACTGAAAACATTATTTAATTAATGGAAACTCAGAAATTATTTCTAAAAACCAAAATTAATTTCTGACCAACTTCATCAAATCGTAACCAAACACATAAAACAAAACTCAATTAAGAAATTATTTTTAAAACTCATAATCAAACACATAACTCGAAACTCCATATTACTTTCACAACTCTACACTCAAATCATAACCAAATACATAACAAAAAAATTAAAATATTTTAAAAATATTTTTATAAAATAGAGTTTGAATTTATTTTTATAAAATATTTTAACAAAAAACAAAAAAAATGTTTTTAATTTTTTTTTCAACTTTCTTTGTTTTTTCTGGGAAAATATGTTTTTTGGGAAAAAGGTTTTTTTTTTTTACTTTGAATATTTCTGACGCTGAGGCTAAATTAGCCCCTCTTTCATGTGAGGGTAGTTTCGTAAATTTACCTGTGAAATGGTTGTTGCCAAGCTCCTGCCATGCTTTTGTCTCCATGTGGTTAAATTAGCTACTTTTGTCCGTATGTGGTTAATTTAGCCTCAAACTGCCTTCCCAAACACAGGCTAAGTAATTTTTTGACTTTTTGTACTACGATAGATGATGCCAAACAATCCCCACACCATTTTTGAATTTTTTTCAATTACAATGGTGCCCACATGAATTATCTTTTTAGACAAAAAATCTAAAATGCAAATTTTCGTTACACATCTTCCATACACCGCTAACCACCATTTTCAGCGCAAAGAACCCGACTATGGTGAACTCCTCTCTTCTTCTCTCATCTCCATTCTTTATTCGATTTCAGCGTTGCTGCATTCCTTCAATCTTTCATTTCCATTTCAATATATCATCCATCACTAAGTGCAATAATTAAAGATTTTCACATTATAAATAACCTCTATCGCTACCTCTCCACCGCTAACTTTGTAAATTCTGACATTTTTTTTATTATTTTTGATTATGTCAGATAAAAATGAATGAACATTGAAAATATTAATTAGAAATAAGAAGACGGGTGAAAAAAGAGATGATAGAAATAGAAGAATGGTGGTGCTATGAGGATGGATTTACAAAGGAGTGTCGAAGGTGAGTGGTTAGGGACTAATGTGTTAAAATTATGATTATGATTTAAAAAGTGAAAGAAATTATAATAATTTGATATTATTTAAAAAATTAATCATATGAATGGAAAATAAATTTATTTAAAAATTAGATAGCCCAGTAGCACTTTTGTTTCATTATCATCAAACACGTCCCCCTCACTCCTCGTAAAACCCAACCCATTTATTTCGCGCTTCGGCCTCTTTGTTCATCACTTTTACTCGAAGCTTTGCTTTCATTCCCTCCCTCTCAGTTTCAGGTTCACAATCCCAATCTCTCTCTCTCTCTCTCTCTCTCTCAAAACTCGCTATCTATATGCATAAAGATGTATATAATGCACTTGTTTTGTATTAGAATGGACCGATTGTTTCGTAGGGCAACCAACTTGTTCTTGCTCTTTTAGTTGATTGAGGTATTAAATTTTTATAGGGTTTTAGTTTTCTTTTGCATTTATTGTTGGGGTACAGGAATTAGATTGGGACATAAATATCTTTTCCATTCTCAATTCACCAGGTTGTATGATGGGATTTTGGCGAGGTTTCAATTGAATTATGATTTTGTGTGATTTTTTGGACTCTTATAGGCTGTGTTTGGTTCATGAATTTGGGAAGAGATTTGGAAATGGAAAGGTAAATGTGTGCGCAATGTAGTTATATTTCATTTACATTTCATCACCCTTTTCCATTTTCCTTTCTAAATCTCTACCCAAATCCATGAACCAAACACAGCATAAGGGTTTATTTTAATGTGGGTGAAGTTATTGAGTGCTAGTAATTGGTCTGGTTTACTCCTCTGTATTGGGTTTGCATTTTGATTTTGTTTTTGCTTGAATGTGGGTAGGTTGTGTGGTTGAGGCAATGCTTGAGAGTTGAGAGTAGTTCATTTACTGTTTGTTAACTCCCACAAACATGAATAAATTCATAAATATGGACACACGTGCTTGTTTTGGGAGTGGATTTGTCATGAAAATGAAGTGTATGCACCATTTGGTTCGTTACTTGCAAAAAAGTGAACAACAAAATCAAGAGGAGAAAAGAATGGAAACACAACAGGTTAATAAGTTTCATTAGTTTGTTTATGGGAATGAAGCGCCGAATGGATCACGGGTCTGACTTAAGAACCTTTTGTTAATGCCCTTGTGCTATCCTAAATGAGCTGCAAAAGATTGAATAAAAGAACCTTGGAAACATTCTTCTAGGCTTTAAGGTTTCACTGCACTACTTAGTAATAGCAGTCCAATGGAGGAATATATACTTTGAGAAAATCCAGGACTTGAAAAAACTAATGAAAATTTCCTCTTACTTCTCCATTGATTGAAATTCTGAAAGTTGTACAGAAAAATCTAATCCTTGGTTGGAAACTATGAAAATCATAATATAATAAGGAGTTTGGCGGAGGAGTTGGTTTGTTGGAGCTTGTTGGTATGTATTGGAAGTTCAAAACCATTTTGTGGATGATGACAGGGGTTTCAAACTCATTTTTCATTTATTTCTTTGGGACAAACGCATTATGACTTCTGCTAAGGGGTATGAACATCAAGGTTGTATTGGTTGAAAATCTTTATTTCCTCTTTTGAACAAATAATATTTACGAGTAGCCACTGCAAATGTTTCTTACATTAGTAAATGATGAAAAGGCAGGAAGAATAAGCGATTGATGGTAATGGTAAAGATGTAATCATATGAATAGGTGTGGAATGATTTATCATTGCGAACTCCATGTTTCCAGTCTTCACATTGAATTTGGGTATATGGTGGATTTGAGTGGTGATACTTGTACACACTTGCACCCATTAATGTATTCTGCTGTTTGAAATCAGTAAGTCGTTACTCATCATACCTTTCGTTGATCTTCTAGCCTTCTTTGAAAATAAAATTTCTGTTGAGCCCTTTATTTTTTATTTATTTTCATTGCAGATTTGATGATATAGGAACTGATGCTTATGGCTTAAGTCTTATGCATTGCGCAACTTTTAAAAATTTGTTGATATCTGTTTTAATCAAACCTAGTCTTTGGGTGGCCCCAAGTGTTGGCTTAAGCTAGAGTTGGTTTCTCACCAACATCATGCTTTGTTCCCCCCCCCCCCCCCCCCCATTTTTTTTGTGTCTTATTTGATCCTCGTGTTTTCATTCTTTGCATATAACTTGTACAATGTTTTACATATTTAGCTCTAATAGCACGAGAGCACTTTATTTCAGTGCAGGGTTGTAATAGTTTCATCATTTCGGATTGTAGGATGGGGGAAGGGAGGAGAACACAGATCTTCATACCAAATGAAAGTGCACCTTCCATTCCAAATCAGGCTACTGGCCCTGTAAACAATAGAAATTTGTCGAAGAATCACCTTGGTGGTGTCATATTTGGTTGCAAGAAGAGCACAATAAAAGAATGTCTTTTCAAACAGCTTTTTGGTCAGTTATCTACATTCCGATAGCAAATTATATTTTTCGTTTGCCCTCTGCTCATATAGCTCATGCTACAAAAGTGTTTCCATTTTTCTTCATGCTCGCCTTCATGGTTTGGTTCAAGGATGTGCATCAGTAACATGTGTATATTAATATCATTCTATGTTTGATGAACTTGTATTTCTCTCAGTAATATGACTATCACTGCTCCTTTGTTTCATTTTATTTTTGGCTCCTTAAATTGATGAAAATGTTTGGAAATTTAACAGGCTTGCCAGCTCAACACTTTTCATACGTAAAGAATGTTGATCCAGGTCTGCCACTGTTTCTATTCAACTATAGTGACAGGAAACTTCATGGCATCTTTGAGGCTGCTAGCTCAGGCCAAATGAATATTAATCCATATGCATGGACCACAGATGGCTCGGAGAGAACACTATATCCTGCTCAGGTATTTATATGAGATTTTCTCTTCCATAGTATAGTTGTTTATTGAGTTTTCTGGTTATGTTTGAGACATGCTGGATTATGATAAAAGAAAGGTTTATTACTTATAAATTGGTTATTTTTATGCTAAGGTTCAAGTTCGTGTCCGGTTGCATTGCCTTCCACTTCCTGAAGAACAATTTAAGTCAGTAATTATAGACAACTACTACAGTCAGAACCATTTCTGGTTTGAGCTGGACCATGCTCAAACAAGCAAGTTGATGTCCTTACTATCATCTCTAGCTGTTGCCTCAAGTACTTTTTCTCCTCAGAATACCACAAAGTGGAGAACTTTATCCCAAGCTCCACCCTCACATGATAGAAAAGAGGAAATTGAAGGTTTGATGCTACCAGCCTTGGAGGTTGACTTTCCTTATTTCTATGATGGCAATGGGTTGGGTTCTTCAGATGTTGCTACGCATTTAGATCGAAACAACCATCCATTGGAAGATTGTTTAGTTAAGCAGGTGGTGGAAAAGGAGGAGGACCTTATATACATGAAACTAAAAGAGTTGGCTCTTAATCGGCAACGGTCAGACCCACCTTTAATGGATGTTGAAGATATTGCTACTGTAAATGGTGTGCACTCAAGGCACAAAGGTTTATCAGAGGCACAAACAAATTCAGAAGAAAGGAATGGACAAAGTCTCATTAACTCATTTGATTATCCTTCTGTCATATCGCAGGTACTTGGTGATGTCAATTCTCCACCCATCCCTTAATTTTCCATCATGGGCATTTCTATTATATTTTGTTTCATTTACAAATGTTCTATTATTTTTATGTACACATGCAGTTGATGCAAGGTATGGAAGAGTTAAACGCTTTTAAAATAGAACAAATTCATAAGATGGGTTATCTGGAGCAGAAGCTGGTATGTCTTTTTATTTCATAGATTCTGAAGTTTGCAATTCTCTCTAGTAAATGTTTTTCACATACTAAAATTAGCAATTGCACCTTGCACCAAAAACCTGATCAGTTTTTTCCTTCTCCCTGGCCTCTTTCACTAGTTAGCAACACAAAAAAGAATGCACAAGAATTGTTGGTGAAAATTTCAGATTCAAGTAGGGCAAAAGCTAGAGTTTAAAGGATGTGTTAGAATCAGAGCAATTTTAACCTTCACATACATGTGGAATGAAATCAAGATAAGTGGTGTAAGAAAATATTACAACGATGATTGGACAACTGCACTAGGCCAGTAAGATACATAAAAGTCGAAAACAGATGGATAAGATTTGATAGGATTGTTACTGAAGTAGCTTACTCTGATAACAAAGAAATCCACTGATCCAAAATAGAAGTGACCCTTATCCTTTGTTCTTAATGTAGTGATGTTTGTTGGACCTAATTTTGTAAGTTTATTACTGCTCATCATCTTTAACTTCCTTGTTTTTTTATTTATCATCATTGTATCTCAAATTAGCTCAAAATTCTGACACTAATGCCATAGGTGTCAACTTTGGCCTTCCCTCTTTAAAGGACAATAAGCTTTGCTTCTGCCCTTCTCCTAAAGTGGATGTGCTTATGTATATACCTTACCTTTGTACTGGCATTTCAGGTTGAGGCAGAAATAGAAATTCAAGAACTAAAACAGCGATGTATGATGTTGGAATGCACATCACATCCTTCCGCAGTACGCATTGATGAAATGGCGATGGAGTCAGTTAATGATCCTGAACTGGATCTTGATGAGTTGATATATCTTGTGGGAGGATACAATGGTGTATCATGGTTATCGGCATTGGATTCCTACTCTCCTACGAAGGATGTGATAAAATCTCTAAAGCCAATGAACCATGGCCGTGCTTATGTCTCTATTGCATGGTTGAATGGTGAGCTTTACGTATTTGGTGGTGGAAACGGTAATTTGTGGGTTGACACAGGTATTAGCTTGCACTTTTTTCTCTCTGATTCACTTAAATATTTATGTTACTAACTTTGGAAATTTATTTCCATGAAGTTGAATCATATGATCCGGCCAATAACCAGTGGCATCTGCGACCCTCTTTGAATGGTGAAAAGGGAAGCTTAGCAGGTGCTACTCTAAATAACAGAATTTTTGCAATGGGTGGTGCAAATGGGGTAGATTGCTATGCAGATGTTGAAATGTTTGATTTAGATGTTGGTCGCTGGATTTCTTCACGGTCAATGCTACAAAAGGTAACTCCTAAAAATATGTTGGGCTGCATAATACCAGGTTACCTGAATTTGCTTGTAAGGCTTCTTGCTTGCCTCATTTCTTGAAGTTAAATCCATGCTTGAGCTTGTAATATTTTAAACTAAATTAATCAGCGGTATACAATGTTTTATGTAGTCTTTATGTTGCTCATGATATATTCGGGTAATATAATAGTAGTTATTGATACATTTGATGGTAAGGGAACATATGGAATTTATTTGCAGAAGAACCAAAACATTAGAATACGGTATTTAAGGAGTATAACCTTCAATATGGCTTTCTTCATGCTAATTTTTCAGATTGTACTGTGGTCCCTTATGAGCATTAATTATTTTTAGGCGTGTGCACCTTGTATTATTTTAGCTATGCATCAGTTTTGCACTAAGGTGTAATGCTTGGAATGGTAATTTAACATTTAGGCTGCGGATATGCTTATTTTGTTTTTGTTTTTTGCTTTTTTAGAGATTTGCTCTTGCTGCAGCAGAGCTTAATGGTGCAATCTATGCCGTTGGTGGATACAATGGAAAGGAATATTTAAAGTAAGATATCAAATCCCCTTTATTTTTACTTCATGTTAAACTATATGTGAGCTGTGGCTCACTTATGAATGCAATTAAAAACATGTCCATGCATTATTATTTTTAGAGGGCTTGAAAATATGGGTATGTGCACCTGTCACTTGTTACAAAATTCTTGTTGTTAATAACCATGCATTGCGCCTTGCTTGTAATCTAATTTTTAATATCTTGCCACTCTATCACAGACTTGGATCCATTGTGCCTGGCTTTTAGATGAAAGTCATGAACTGTTACAATTTCCCCTTGGTGAAGTGGCAAGAGCTTTTCTTGCTTATGGTTTCATCTACCTCATTTATTAAATATATGTTCGGATAGGTGGTGTTAAAATCCACCTACTCTCCACCTACTTCACCCACTTAAACCTACTCCACTAAACCTAACCCACTAACCCACTACACCACTACCACCTCACCTACTCCACTAAACCTAACCCACTAACCCACTACACCACTACCACCTCACCTACTCCACTAAACCTAACCCACTAACCCACTACACCACTACCACCTCACCTACTCCACTAAACCTAACCCACTAACCCACTACACCACTACCACCTCACCTACTCCACTAAACCTAACCCACTAACCCACTACACCACTACCACCTCACCTACTCCACTAAACCTAACCCACTAAATCCACATACTCTCCACCTACTTCACCCACTTAAACCTACTCCACTAAACCTAACCCACTACACCACTACCACCTCACCTACTCCACTAAACCTAACCCACTAAATCCACATACTCTCCACCTACTTCACCCACTTAAACCTAATCCACTAAACCTAACCCACTACACCACCTACTCTCCACCTACTTCACCCACTTAAACCTAATCCACTAAACCTAACCCACTACACCACCTACTCTCCACCTACTTCACCCACTTAAACCTAATCCACTAAACCTAACCCACTACACCACCTACTCTCCACCTACTTCACCCACTTAAACCTACTCCACTAAACCTAACCCACTAAATCCACATACTCTCCACCTACTTCACCCACTTAAACCTACTCCACTAAACCTAACCCACTAAATCCACATACTCTCCACCTACTTCACCCACTTAAACCTACTCCACTAAACCTAACCCACTAAATCCACATACTCTCCACCTACTTCACCCACTTAAACCTACTCCACTAAACCTAACCCACTAAATCCACATACTCTCCACCTACTTCACCCACTTAAACCTACTCCACTAAACCTAACCCACTACACCACTACCACCTCACCTACTCCACTAAACCTAACCCACTACACAAC